CTCATAAAAAGGGCGTGGCCACTTGAGTGACAGGTGGATTGCCGCTGCTGTCGCCACCGTCGAGCTAGGTGGGCATGGTTTCAGCGACCAGCTCCCGCCTCTTTGCCACTTTTTGACTATCCGGGAGATGCCAAGATGGCGATGGCCTTGAGCTTCAAAAACTCTGTTCAGAAATCTACGGGTGACGTCACGGATACTACGTCCATGTTTTTATACAGTCTATGGCATATTTACAGACAAACTACATTCATGTTCATATGCCCAGACAGTCAACAGTGATAGGTTTTTGGAAACAAGTCTGTTGCGGTTCGGTCAGTTGAATGTGCTGCTAACTCTGCTGGTCGAGAAAAGCCTTGCACTCATGGGGCGAAACCAGTGCTGCTGAAAATACAGCTTTGCCATCACAGGAATAAATTACATTTCAAATATATATTAAAATATAAAACCGTTATTTTAAATTGTAATATTTCACAAAATTACTATTTTTACTGTATTTTTGATCAAATAAATCCAGCCTTGATTTTTTTTATGCTTTCTGAAATTCTGTATTAATTGCACATATCAATATTTTCAGATAAAAAAACAGATGAAGGTAATTCAAAAGACACTTTAGCTAACGAGTAAAACATTGAATCTGAAACTTCCTGTTGTCCGTAATTCACTCTATGCCGTGTGTACTGGCTGAACAGCCTGTGCTTATGTAAAACTTCGACATTCATTCATTTAGTAGATGCTTTTATCCAGAGTGACTTGAAATGAAAACTAAATTGAATTTCTTTGTGCGTGAGATGCTGGTGATATCCTTGTGTTGGAAAGTTCCATCATTTATTCCATGTTTTCTTTTGTTTAACAGATGCTCCAGAGTTTCAAGATAGCTTCATAACTTCAGGCGTCTTCAGTGTAACAGAACTGGTGCAAGTATCAAGAAGTGAGATGCTTTTATATTTTATATAATACAGGTGCATCTCAATAAATTAGAATGTCGTGGAAAAGTTCATTTATTTCAGTAATTCAACTCAAATTGTGAAACTCGTGTATTAAATAAATTGTTCATATGCCCAGACAGTCAACAGTGATAGGTTTTTGGAAACAAGTCTGTTGCGGTTCGGTCAGTTGAATGTGCTGCTAACTCTGCTGGTCGAGAAAAGCCTTGCACTCATGGGGCGAAACCAGTGACATTATTCTACTGAATAAAAGCTATTTATCCAAAATGTCGCTAGTTGCTATGCGCTTTGTCTTACAAAAAAGTTGGTAAAATCTGCAACACTGGTTAGTGCGCCCGTGTGTGTGTGTGTGTGTGTGTGTGTGTGTGTGCGCCACGGAGGTCTGAGTGATACGAGTGCACTTGAAATACGAAGTGAAGGTGGGTCCGGATCGAATTCCCTCCTGTTCCAGATCCAGACCGGAGTCCGGGCTTTGAGAAGGGCTGCTGTAGGTTGTCCCATTCCTCATTTTAGCTTTCAGAAGGGTGCTCGTGAGTGCCCCTTTTGTGGCCACTATGCACCCTCGATGCGCACTTCTGCCGAGCCCACACG